GAAGAGAAAAATATGCAGAATCTTTCAAGCTTAATTTCTTTTATCACTGAAGTGAAATGAAAACTCCAAATTTGAAATTGAACTCAAGGGGGAATTGAAATGAAATGAAGTGAAATCGTAAAATTTGAAATTGAGCTCAAGAGAGAACCGAAATGAAATTAAATCCTAAAATTTGAAATTTAACTCGAGAGAGAAGAGAAAAATATGCAGAATCTTTCAAGCTTAATTTCTTTTATCACTGAAGTGAAATGAAAACTCCAAATTTGAAATTGAGCTCAAGAGAGAACCGAAATGAAATTAAATCCTAAAATTTGAAATTTAACTCGAGAGAGAAGAGAAAAATATGCAGAATCTTTCAAGCTTAATTTCTTTTTTCACCGAAGTGAAATGAAATCTTAAAATTTGAAATTGAACTCAAGGGAGAATCTACAAACTCTGCTAATTTTTCACTGAAATTAAATTAAATCTAAAAATTTAAAAGTCGACCTTCTGAAACTGAATCGACGTTAAACGAGTAATTAAGAAAACTTACTACATTCGACACTCGTCTCTAAACTACTCAACAGCTCCAGAAAAAAGTACTTTAGAATAACGTAAAATACTCCAGCAATACTATGCACAAGATTGCATTCAGATTTAACCGAATGAAGTTTGTTTACAATACGACTCTATTTCTTATGAACGAACAACGTTGTTGTTTTTTGTGGCAAGTCTCAACAGACGTTTGCAATAAAAACCAACGATGTTTGTTTTTTCCAATATACACCGTTACACGCTTCGCAGCGCCTTTTTTGTAAATATCGTTAACATTGAAAATAGCAGGTGCATAAAAGGAACGACATTACTTATGACTCAACCTAATAATATGAATGATCAAGTGTTCCAGGAACTGGCTATAGTTTAAAATAAAATTCAAAAATAGACGTCTGAGAACCTGTCGGGACCGCGAGATAAAGATAATAATCGTATAACAAGATCCGTTCGTACAGAGGTCCGTGCATATCGAGGAAAAGTTCGCTCTAATTGAGCCGAAGTCGATGATGCTTCGCGGTTCGTTACTCGTAAAAACACGTAAGAAACCGTTGACAGACAAATGGTTCGGCTCCGCTCTGCGCAATCGTAGATGAATAACGCGGTACGAATTATCAAAAGCACGGTTAAAAATCGTTAATCGCCGTCGGTGGCTTGGAGATCCTCCAAATTACGATATTCCCGTCACGACAATGAGTTATATTCGGTGGTTGATAGTTCGCGGTCGCACGCGTGACCGCGGGCAACGTCTATTTTTGCATCATTTCATCTTACACGCTGTACCACTTGTCAATTCAACGCTCGTACCAACGAAATCGAGACAGTAAACCGATCCTTGGTTAACATCGATCAACTCTCGTTTGATAAATTTCCAAATTTACGATCGATATTTTCTATTTTTCGATTCAATCCAAACACCTGTGAGTACGGAGACGGATAAATCGTAATTCTCGATCCTAATTCTCAAATGTTGACAGAGATTTAAATTAAGTGCGAGGAAAAATTCGAAATAAACGAATTCTCAAAAAAAAAAAGGAAATATCTACTTTGCCCGATGCTGGTAATAACGTTGAAAAAAAGAAAGGGCGATGTACTTTGAGAACGGTAGTAGAAAAAGTTTATTGTCACGATGGCGGACAAAAGATGGACGAAAATGTCTGAGCGAAGAAGAATCGGGGCAAAGTTCGAAACGAGCGAGAATGGCGAACGAGAGCGGTGAAAAAAAAGTGGCTGGGCCTCGGAGGGGGAAAGAAAAACACGCGGAGGGCGCCACGCAATAAAGGTCGACGACCTAAAGTGCCACCTGTACGTCCTGAACCAGTTCCCCTTTTCGGCAGCAATGTGGGTCAGCACGCTCCCTCGGCTAAAAAGGGCATGTATCAGTCGAAACGGTAGAAAACTAGCTTCGACGCGTCCTATTCACCAAGAATTCATACGAAAATACGGTTCGAACGACGAACGACGACTATTCCGCGTTCAGTTACGCACTGCGGTCGAAGGGGAACGCAAAAACGTTAACCCTGCCGTGTGGTGGGGGGTGAACGACCGGAATCACTGGCTAAACTGCACTTGAAAAGAAAAGAATCTCGTGTTTCGATAGAAATAAACGTCGATTTAAATATCAATTTCATTAGGTACATATATATAGGCCGTTGCAGAGATCTCCTTAACGAGAACGTATCGACGAGTTTCGCAGCGCAACGATTGACCGCATTTTTTGCGTCTGCCGGTGAGCACCGACCGAGATATTAATTATTCCGCGGGACATAAAACTAGGTCGTTCGAAAATGCACCCACAGGGGGCTAAAAAAATGCAACTGTCGTAAGGGAGGCGGAAAAAAATAATTGATTTCGACGCCCCTGCAATAGGTGTGTTGTATCGACGCCAATGGTCAGCTTCCCTGTCCGCGAAACGCGTATTTACATCGGACACGCATTAGCGTACGTACTACACGCGAACCGGTCAGCTGTTCGAACGACAACGACAACGACGACGACGACGACGACGACCACGTCCAGACGCGAAATCCTCGAGCAGCGGCGTGCCGCGTCCTCGAGACGATTCCGTTCCTCGACCTCGTGGAAACGAGGCTAACCGCGCGAGCCGCACGGCTCTGCAGACAAGAAGATGGCGGGGGAGGCGGGGTTGATGGGTACAACGCGAATTAGGTTAGGTTGCACCGCGCGAGGGATAAGTCGTGTGGCACAGGCGCTATACTATTGAATGAATGATCGGTAAGCCTGGAATTGTGATTGGTGTGGTTGGAAAATTTGATGTATACAAGGGAGTGTTGTACACACGGGGATGCCAGGGTGGAAAAGCATGGTTCGAAGGGTCAATGAGAATGCTGGCAGGTCGATAGCAATGGCGCCGCGAAGCTACGAAGAAAATCAATCCTGTACGACACGCGACGTGTTTTGACGTGCCTACTTTTTTACTCGTTCGTTTCTTCCCTGACAACGACACAATGCGACATTTCGTTCAACTGATCCGAGGATATAATCGTGAAATAAATTGGAATAGTTGGAAGTGTTCGGAATAACGGTGTGACAGGGAGAAAAGAAACGCAAAGTCGAGAAATACGAGAGAGCACACTGACGTACCGACCGAGGTGGCCGGAAAAGACGAGGCCGCAGGGCCACGCACACACGTATACACAAGTTAAGATCGCGCGTATACACTGACACGCACGTATGCAAAGGTGGGCATCGATACACTGCATGCAGCCAGAGACGGTCGTAGGCTATTCTCACGCACGCGATTAGCAAAAAAATTGTTTATGTCGCTTACTTTTGATCACTCGTTCCGTCGTGGAGAGCTTCTGCGACGAGTTGTTCGAGGTCATGCTGTATCAGGATGGTTGACGGGTGGGCGCCGGCCTCTCGCTCTCTTTCTCTCCTCGCTCTTCTCTATTTCACTCTTCCTCTTCACCCGGTCACACAGGATCGTTTCTCTCTCCCACTCTCTCACCGTGTCACTCTGTCACTGTTTCTTTTTTCTTCTTTCTCTAGCCGTAGTTACTCGCGCGAGGTAGCACCTTCCTCACGAACGGGGGGTTGGGTGGAAGGAGAGGGCGGTATTTTCACCTCGAGAGCCCGGCGCGGCACACACACATACACACGCACGGAGTAGGGGAGGGAGGAGACGGGGGTCGGAGAGGTGACGGAAGTTATCGCACGGTGCGGCACATCGGTGGCTCCGAACCGCTGTTCATTGGGCGTTTGCAGAGTGAGAAATTATTCTGCCGTGTCCCTCTCTCGCTCCCCGTGTATTTACTACAGCCAAACGACCTACGGTATTCCTCTCTTCTCTTTCTCGCACCTTC